CCCTCCCTGAGAGCCCTCATAGCACCTCTGTGCTGCTCTGGCTCTGGACTTGGGTGGGGGGGCCTGATCCTCAGCCTGAGCCCAGTGCCCGGCACAGCTCCAGGCTCCTGGACACCCTCAGGGGCTGATACGGAATCGCACTGGGACTAAGTCTGGGCCACAGCTAAGACCTTGGAATTCTGTGGGTCATTCCACACTGAGAGCCAGAGCCAGGCAGGCGGGGACAGGGTGCATCTGGCCCTATGTGGTCAGGGTGTGTGCATCCTGAGAGGAAGTGACATCTAGACAGGTAGGAGAGTCCGGGGACGGGGTGGGGGGGGGGTGGTGCTGCGGAGGAGGCTCTTGGTCCTATGGAGGTGAGGGAACCGAAAGAGGCCGTGACGGGGAAGAGGGTGGTGGTGGGGTGGGGCCCGGAGTGGGGACCCACCCTGGCCCACACGGGTTTGCATTCTGAGATCACTCTGGTCTGCAGCACCCAAGGGTCAGGCTATGAGTCATTGGAGAAACTTCAGGCAGAGCTGACCCCACCGGGCACCTAAAGATGATTTCTGTTATTATATGTGGAGTATTTCTTCCTAATCAGGAGCCCAGTTTTAAATTTTAAAAGGCAACAAGGAACCCTGAGAAAACAATGTGTATAAAGTGTGGGTTATAAAATGGTTTCCTGTTGTCAGTGCCTTGGATCTTGGGTTTTTCAGAACCTTGGGATGTGGGACGTGGTGTCCACATGGCGGGGGGGTGGGGCTGGGGCTGGCTGGGTTCTGCCCATGGGAAGTCAGGCAGAGGCCTTGGTGGAAAGAAGCCAAGCACTTCCCATATGGACTGTATCACCCACTGGTGTTGGTGGGTTCTTTGGTAGATAAGAGACATCTGTGTCCCGGGCTCCTAGCAGAACCCTGGGCTGAGTGTCTTAAATGACTGAGATTTATCCCATCGAAGCCCTGGAGGGCAGAGGTCAGAGAACAAGGGCCACACCTGCTCTGAAGGTGCTGGGCAGGATGGAGGACCTGTCCCAGGCGTCCCTCCAGCTTCTGGTGCTTTCTTGGCTGTGGCCTCATCTCTTCTGTCGCACAGCTGTCTCCCCATGAAGGTCTGTGTCCCAGGGTTCCCTTCCCTAAGGACACCAGTCACGTTGGAGCAGGGCTTACCCTAGCAACATTGTCTTAACCAGTTCCATCTACAGGGACCCCATTTCCAAAAAAGGTCATGTGCAACAAGTGAGTCTGGGACATGGTTCAACCCACGGCAAATGGTGATGGGTATGCACTGGTTTGTTGTCGAGCAAGGATATTTCCATAAAAGTAGTTTTGTAGTCGACATTGTCATAATTCACGTACAGCAAGCTGCTCACTGGAAGAGGGTAAATGGGTGGGTTTGCACACAGCGGTGTCTCTGTCCCTTGCTGTCCCCAGGCCAGGCAGCCCCTGTCCCTGCCCGTGTAGGTCTCTCTGTAGGTTTGTTTCATGGGAGGGATTCCTGCACTGTCTCCTTTGTCCGGTTGCTTTCACGCAGCGTAATTATCTAGAGATTCACCTGTGTGGTCTAGCGATCCACCTGGAAGGGCCTTTTAGATGCACTCGGCCAGCCAGGCAAGGGCGGAGGTGGGGCTTCATGGGGCCTGCAGGCAGCAGCTTGGCCTCTGCAGACCAGGAGTGGGTGGTCTGGTTCTAGCACTAAAGGTACGTTGCTTCCACCTTAAAACAATATTCACATTTCCAGAAAAATTTCAAGAAAGTGTAAATAGAGCATAGTGGAAACACAGTGAGAAGAGGTGAAGTCGGCGAGGAGGCTCCATGGGTGTTTGAGGTGCTCACTTCTTATTGTTGGGCTTTTCTGTACTGAGACTTGGTGACCGGCCCTGGGGAGGGACCAGTCGGCCAGGGCTCCTGATCCTTGCCCACACCCGGAGTTTTTTTGAGTGCAGCTGGATATAAAGTCCAAATGCATTCACTATTTTGCATCCTTATTATAAGAATTAATTGTCTTCAAGGTGGAGCTCTTTAGGGACCAGAGAAAAAACATGAATACCCCCTCCTGCTCCCAGAATTACTAATCTGAACCTACAGTGCAGCAAATGAAATAAACTCAGAAGAGCAGTCTTCATGTTTCGTGTTTCTTGTGATTTTCGAGACTTGGGAATTTATTTGGCTTTTACCAGCGAAGCATCCATGGTCTCGTGGGCAAGCTGGATGAATAAGAGACGGGCCTCCTGCTGGTAATTTGTGAAGATGGTTCTTGGTTGCAACCTCCTTACCTTCAGATGCTGTGGGGAGAAGGTTCGTGAGGTGCCCTGGGGTTGGAGTGCTGTGGGCTCTGTACCCTGGAAGTGACAGACGGGGGTGCCCCTGACACCACATCTGCCCCTGATGCTCAGAGAGGAGGTTGGCACAGCAGGTCTGTGCTCATGTCTGAGTGCAACTTGTTTAGGCGAGACCTCAACCCCGCCTTGACTCCAGATTACCATACTGAAGAGTCGAGACTTGGGTCTCTTGTGTCGTGGGAGCTGGCTCGGGACTGCGAGACTCGGGGCAGGGCAGGTCTGTGGCACCCAACACAAGCTCAGTGGCTCTGGATGGCTGGACTCAATTTCCCTGCCAGGTAGCTTGGAGACCACCTCCACCTTTCCCAGAGGCATCGGTATTAGAAATGGCTCTGGCAGCAAAAGGCAAGTTTCCCACCAGGCAGGACGGGGATTTGCCTGCCCCCTCCATCACTTGCCGTGCCATCACCTGCATGGTCCCCGTGTCCTGGGTTATGTCTGTGGGGGTGGCTCTGAAATCTGCATGGTGCAGATCGGCACACTTTTGGAGTCTAGTCTGGAACATGGATTCAACTTGTATTTGCTCCAAGGTGGTCATAAGTGATTCTGTCTGAGGCTGAAGTGTTTTGAGATTAGTGAGCTATAAATAAAACAGAGCGTAGGGACCCCAGGAGACATGAAACCCGTGTAGAGATGGAGTGGCTTCCAGGTGGCACGTGGGTCACTTTAACAAAGTTGCAGGTGCTGGTTATGGCAGCAGGTAACCCGTCTGCCCCTTGTTCTCACCAGCCTGAGCTTCTCTTGACAGAGTGGCATCTGGGACCCTTCAGGGTCACAGGGTCCTCTTTGAGGGTCCCTTCCTCCCAGGACTGCCCTTGTGGACCTTGGAATGCATGACAGCGCCCTGTGGTCCATGTGGCAGCACAGGTAATTCAGAATGACAGTCAGGTTATCTGTCCACAGGTGTGTGTGCTATGGGGCTTCCTAGGTGACATTGATGGTAAAGAACATGCCTGCCAATGCAGGGGACATAAGAGACACAGTTTCAGTCCTGGGTCAGGAAGATCCCCTGGAGGAGGGCATGACAACCCTCTCCAGTATTCTTGCTTGGAGAATCTGGACAGAGGAGCCTGGTGGGCTACAGTCCATAGGGGCGCAAAGAGTTGGACAGGGCTGAAGCAACTTAGCATGTGTGTCCTATGAACAAGTGTGGTTCCACTGGTGTGTGTTCCCTGAGCAGGTGTGTGTCCCATGGCCAGGTGCATCTTCACTAGGCAGTACCCTCCTTTGGGGCAGGGCAGATGCTCTGCTCTCCTAGCCCTCAAAGAAAAACCTCTGTGAGCATACTTGAGTGTGAAGCCTGCGTCTTTCTGGTCAGACTGCTGTGTGATGTGACTACTAGGATGCTGACTACTAGGATGCTTTGGTTTTTAGGTCATGGCCACAGCATGGACAGCAGCTCTTCTGCTGCCCTCAGGTGGGCAGGACCCCCATAATGTCTCACTGATGTTCAGACATTAGCAACTTTGTAATGCAAATTCAGTCATTCCCCTAAAGTTTCAGTAGGCTTGGATGAATTAGGTGTATGCCTAATGTTTCCATAGCAGACTAATCTGTTGTTTGTTTGTTTTTGGCTGTACCACATGGCCCTTGGGGTTTTAATTCCCTGACCAGGGATTGAACCCATGCTCCCTGCAGTGGGAGGGTGGAGTCCTAACCACTGCCCTCCCCGACCCCAAGGGAAGACCCTGACTAATCTATTTTTGATTATCATTCTTTAGATTCCTCTTCTTTTTAGCATACAGGTAGCTTTTTTCCCTAATGAAAATTGTATTTTCTTACAACAGATTTTCTGTGAAATGCATAACTGATTTTTAAGCTGCTCTGATTGAATAATAATTTATTTTAGAACTTCCCATATGAGTTGAAATTATTTTAGAAATGCAAACCCTGTGAGGTAGTTGCTGCTTCTGTAAACGGCTGTGGCGTTTCCCCCTTTTCAGTTTTCTTCCTGATTCTTAGAGGATCTGCTTCACTGGTGAATAAAGAGATTTATTATTCATACAGTAAGTCAGGTAATGAAACCTGCATCTTCCTAATTTGAATACAGGGTCCTTAGGTACCTGAGTACCTCCCTCCACCCCACCCCAATCCCCTGCACATGGCCAGGAGCTCCTCTTGGACTCAGGCATGAAGCTGATGTTTTGCACTCAGATGGTTGATTTCCTGACTTGACACATGTTCCAGTTCCTCCCTCAGTGTCTGGTTAACCTGAGTGTGATGCCAGCTGTGGGTTGAAGCCAACCTGGATGGTCTGTCTGTCCTCCTCCCCTCCTTGCATGCCCTGGAGGAAGAGCAGATTGGGTGATGACTGCCCTTGGGGGGCCCCCATGCACCCAGGGTCAAGCACCCCAGTATCAGCTGTGAGTGTGGGGACCCCCCCGCCATGGCCAGTTCTGACCACTCCCCCTCCTCCTCAGGGTCCATCCTTGGGGTCAGGTCCCACTGGTCTCATGATTGAAGTAGCCTGTTTACTTCTGGTCTTGGGGTGGGGTGGAGTCTGGCGGGGACAGTGCCCAGTGGGCCATCGAGAGATAGGAGGGAGCAAAAGACTTGGACTCTCCCCGGCCTTGTTCTCCAGGCCTGAGGACTGCAGCCATCTGCAGGTGAGCCCAAGTGACATTGGGAAATGTGTTGGAAGTCCAGGGAAAGCTGTTCCACCATGAGGTGTCCCACGCCCTCCGCTCCCTTGCCTGCCCTCTGTCTGCTCCCCATGGGAAAGGGGGATGATGACCCCACCTTTGACCAGCTGGGAAAGGGTGAGTTTAAAAGGAAGATTTGTCTTCCTCGGGGGGTTTCATGTGGTGATGGTGGCCCCAGAATTCGTGTATTGAGGTCCTCACCCCCAGCACCTCAGAACCTGACCTGGTTGGGCTGGGACTTGTACTGAAGTGGGAGGGGCCTCGTCCAATATAACCATGTCCTCGTTGGGGATGTTGGGACCGACATACGCAGTGACACTGCACAGGCTGGGGGATGATGCTCCACAGGCCAAGGACACAGAGGGTTGCTGGTCAGCAGCAACGGCCGGGACACATCCCCTGTGCGGTATTCAGAGGGAGCCCTGTCCACGCCGCAGCCTCGGGCTGTGGCCTCCTGACACGGCAGCACCGAAGTGCTCTTATCTTGGCCACGTGGTCTGGTGGCCCCAGAAACTTTGGGGGCAGCAGAGAGCTGGGAAACAGAGCTGGGGGGAAGCAGCATGGTTTGGACTGGACTGTGGGCATCCAGCCTTGGCCCTTCCTGCCCTGCAGGCTGGACTGTGTAGGATATTGCTGTTGTTTTGCCATTAAAGACGCTTCTTCAAGGGTGGGGGTGAAGGCGCACCTGGTTCTCTTCACCTAGACTTTCTGTTTGGGTAAAGAAGTCTCTTCGACTACAGATGGGCCTTCTTGTCCTTTCTGGACTATTTGCTTGGTTGGAGGGTCGGCTGCAGCATGTAGGGTTCTATCTAGAGTGCTGTGTGCAGGAGAACGGAGCTGGCTCAGGTGCCACCCTTGGGTGCCCTGTGCCCAGTGTCCTCCCTCTGCACTCTTCAGCCCTTGGTGCGTGTGTGACTGTGTGGGTAACCCTTCTGTTCTCGCCCCACAGAGTCCATAGAGGAGGCCACCCCAGGATCCCAGATGAACAACCGGAAGGAAGATATGGAAATCGCGTCCCACTACCGACACCTGCTGCGCGAGCTGAATGAGCAGAGACAGCACGGAGTGCTGTGTGACGTGTGTGTGGTGGTGGAGGGCAAGGTTTTCAAGGCCCACAAGAACGTCCTGCTCGGCAGCAGCCGCTACTTCAAGACGCTCTACTGCCAGGTGCAGAAGACTTCTGAGCAGGCCACGGTCACTCACCTGGACATCGTCACAGCCCAGGGCTTCAAGGCCATCATCGACTTCATGTACTCTGCCCACCTGGCCCTCACCAGCAGGAACGTCATCGAGGTGATGTCCGCGGCCAGCTTCCTGCAGATGACGGACATCGTGCAGGCCTGCCATGACTTCATCAAGGCCGCACTGGACATCAGCATCAAGCCAGACGCCTCAGATGAGCTCGAGGCGTTTGAGGTGGGCGCCCCGCCCGGTGGTGGCGCGGATGCCCTCATCTCCGCTGTGATGGCTGGGAGGAGCATCTCCCCTTGGCTGGCCCGGCGCACGAGCCCCGCCAACTCCTCCGGGGACTCAGCCATCGCCAGCTGCCACGAGGGCGGGAGCAGCTACGGGAAGGAGGATCAGGAGCCCAAGGCCGATGGCCCTGACGACCTTGCCTCGCAGCCACTGTGGCCTGGCGACGTGGGCTGCGGGCCCCTGCATGTCAAGGAGGAGCCGCTCTCACCAGCCCACTACGGGGGCAGCGAGCCGCCTTCTGCCACGGATGGCACCATCCAGAACTCCTTCTCGGAGCAGACTGCCGGGGATGGCTGGCAGCCCACGGGCCGGAGGAAGAATCGGAAAAACAAAGACACAGTCCGACACATCACACAGCAGGTAGAGGAGGACAGCCGGGCCGGCTCCCCACTGCCGTCTTTCCTCCCGACGTCCGGGTGGCCATTCAGCAGCCGTGACTCAAGTAAGCCTTTCCTTTGTTACAGGCGGGGCTCAGGCACCCTGGGGCCATGGCGGCACAAAGACATGTGCTGGCCTTGTCGGTGGCCCTGGGGCCACTCGTTTTGTCCACAAAGTGGCACTTTTCCAGGCTCACACAGGTGGCTTCCCCAATTACTGCAATCAGTTGGTATGAGAGCAAGAATACGGCCGTGATGACCTCCTGGTGTCTCCATCAGTGCCGCGCCTGGGGCACCTCCACACAGAGGGAGCTGGGGTGGGGCTTCTCTGAAGCAGGGGGTCTGGAGCTGGAGAAGTGGGGTGACACCTAGGAGCCCACTGTGGGGTGTGGGGCCGCTTTCCTCACATGGGGGCCCTCATAAGCAGTGGCTGGGATACCTTAATTTTTAAAGATGGAAACATTACAGCATTAAAGAGATGAAAGAGTCCTTGAAGTGAAGTGGCATAGGTGGAAGGAAAGGCCAGGCCAGTCTTGTGGGCTGTAACCCATGTGCATGAGTTTTGTGCTGGAGGATGTGACGGCTTGAGGCCACCAGCTCCCATCCCAACGAGGGGTATTTCCTCTTTGCTAACAAGTGTGGGCTTAAAAAAAACAAAAAAAGTGTGGGCTTGGTGGTCCACACTCAGAGCAGTAGGGGCAGGGTGTTACTGCACTGGAGGTGGAACTCTCCTGGACCCCAGTCCATCAGTGGTGAGGGCTCATAGTTTAGCTCTCTTCACACTGTCCTCACCCTCTGGAGGGTGGTTTTATTTGTCTTCCAGGCTAGGTGTCTCCCACCTGCTTCCCAGGTGGTGCTAGTGGTAAAGACCCCTCCTGCCAGTGCAGGAGGCTTAAGAGACATGTGTTCAATTTCCTGGGTCACGAACATCCGCTGGAGGAGAGCATGGCAACCCACTCCAGTATTCTTGCCTGGAGAATCCCATGGACAAAGGAGCCTGGCAGGATACAGTCCATGGGGTCACAAAGAATCAGACATGATTGAAGTGACTTAGCATGGACAGGCTAGTAAACAAATTAAATGTTTACTAGATGCTGGATGCTCTTCCTGGTGTGGAGCTCATGATAACTACAGCTTCACTGAGCTTTCCCGAGTGGCACATTAGGCCACGAGGGCTGTGTTCAGGGTGTGGAGGGGCCCTGGTGGAGCAGGGCAGGATGGAGGCTTCTCAACTGGGGAGGCCCCTCCAGGAAGGGGCCTCATGACTGGACAGAGGTGGACTGAAGGCAGAAAAATGTGGACATAAGCCCTGAAAGATGGCACCAATGCTAGGCCTGTGCTGGGGGGGTAGGGGCATCCTGGGGGAACTAGCTGCTGCCACCCCAGCAGAAGGGCAACCCTTGGAGCTCCTGATACACTGGCTTTGTTATTGTGGTAAAACACATGTATCATAGATGTTACCCTTTTAACACTTTTAAGCATATTGGCATTAAATACATCACTAGTATTGTCTCCAGAACTTTCTCATCACCCCTGGACACACTGTGACCTGTCTCCCTGGTTCTCATTCTCTTACAGCCCTGAGTACTGGGCCAGGCATCTGCAGATTCAGTCTGTTGCAACCTCAGAGGGTTGGCTCCGTGTGAGGTGGCATCCTAGAGTCTGTAGGATGCCAGCAGTGCCCACCCCCTGGTTGTGTCCATGATGGGCAGCCCTCCAGAACTGCTGGAGTTTACCTTAACTAAATCAGAAGAAGGTTAAGTTTCTGAGCTGCTGGAAAGGCCACCTATCGCCCTGCTGGCGGTTGTGTCAGCTCCCTCGGTGACAAGTAAATGTACCTTAGCTCTGACTGAAGCCTTGAGAGGAGTGTCCACGGGGACTGACTTAGGGAACCTTGTTGGGGTCAGGGCTGAAGAGCCTTCCCCTCCTGTCCTACACCGGTGGGCAGCAGGGATGGAGGCCTCTAGATCGAAGAGTCCCTCAACAAATTAAGAATGAGGGCGCTCTATGAGCCCGTGGGTTTGATGTTTTAAAAGCAGTTGTCGAGCAGAAGGTGTTTTTGGAATCCAACAAGTGATTTCGGCTCATGTACTCTTGCTGCTGTCTGAAATCCCTCGGGTTACCAAGGCAACTGCCAGATTTCCCCCGAGTTGCTAAGACGAGGACCTGAGGTGTGGGCTGTGTGGGATGGCTCTGCCCATCATGGTGGCCATTTATTCCTCCGCCCTCCCTGGGCTGGGGCTTGGAAGTCTAAATCACGATCCCTGATGGAGGAGGGTTTGCTTTCATTAAAGATTTATTACATCTTAGAAGAGAGTATTTTTGTTTATTCTCACCACATTTATAGAAGAACAGGCCTTTTCCAAGGAACGTGTCAGGAGGTTCCTGCTGATCGTTCAAGGCCCTTGATGAAGACGCTCGGATGCCCAGCCCTGCAGCAGGGCCACCGCCTTGTCCTCTGTGTGTCCCCCTCGGCTTTGGGGACCCTGGGGCCTGTTAGCGTTTAAGAGTGATTTTTCCAAGCAGGCTTTGTAACCCAGCAGCTTCCAAGAAAACATCCATTGAAATGTGCCTCCGGGTCACAGCCTGTCTGTGTGATGGCTCGTGGGGGACAGTGTTTAAACGTGCCAGTACAATGTGTACAGGCCAGCCTCCTGCCTCACCCCTTTGTCTGCGATCCCCAGGTTGTAAGCCTTCAGCGTGGTGGTTTTGTAGCTGCTAGTTCAAAGGTTGTGCCAGGCAGGAGAGCCTGGCCAGCCCATCCCAACATCCCACACTGATTCCCAAGAGGATCTGCAGATACAAAATTCTGAGCTGAAGTAAAGTGTGTGTGTCTCGTGAGGGACTTCTTCGTGTCTGGACCTTGGTAAGGGTGGACCTGGCATCCCAGGATTGTGAAGGGTGCGTCAGAACTGCAGAGCAGGTTCAGGGGTGCAGGTGGCCTCCTGAGGTTGTTGTGGCTGCTCTGAGCCCAGGGCTGCTGTCCAGCTCGAGGTGGGAGCAGACGCCTGGGACCAGGGCCCGGCCTGCCCTGACCAGGTCAGAGGGGTCGCTTCTCAGCCCCTCGGAACTCCAAGCCAGTGGCCTCTCCCTCGGCTGGGCCTCCAGACGTTTTCCCTGCAGGAATGAGCAGAATTGCTTGGAATCCGTCTTCTTGACCTCAGAGCTGTGGTCAGGGGGCTGCCGGTGCCTGGACACCTCAGCAGTGGGCTTCGTCAGGTCATTTGGTTGGGAACGTGGGGGAAGACATGCTGTTGAGAAGGGAGGTGGGGGACCCAGTGCTGACCCAGCAGAGCGGGGGCACTGTGGAAGGGACATGAGGGGGGCAGGGCTCGGCCCTGAGACCCCCGGCCTGTGCCGCACTTGCTGCCTCACCCTGGCCCAAGGCCACACTTATGAGTTACCACCTGGACTTAAGCCTTCATCACCGTGGGCATGGCTTTACTGAGAGGCCAACAAAGCTTCGTTTCTGCCAAAATGGAAGTTCCTGGACTTTCTAGAAGATTCAGTTCATGAAGCCGGAGGCCCTGAGGCTTCTCATCTTTCCAGATGTGGAAGTGGAGGCTGGTCATCCCAAGGCCGCTGCCCCCGTGAAGAGCTGAGCTTCAGGGTCTGGATCTGGGTGGTCAGGACATGGCAGGGCCCCTGGGGGTGACAGGTGAGCAAGGCCAGTGGTCCCTCTTGGGACCCATGGGGTTCCACTCGGGACAGACGTGCGGGGGTTGGGCTGGGGCCCCTCCACGCCAGCGCTGGCTGGGAGCTTCCAAGGGTGCATTTCTGCTCTCCCTGCTCTCAGGTCACCTCACCCTCGGGCAGCACCACCTCTGGCCTGACAGGAAGGCCACCTGCCTTTTCTGCCGCCTCGATGAGTCCCGTTTTGATTTGAACTTAAGGCATTTTGTCCTTTTAACCATGTGTGTGTTTTCTTCTGGTATTTGGACACTATGACCGCGACGCCCCCAGGTGCCAACAAGGGTGGGGCCTGAGCCCACTGCCCTCGCCCCCCGGAGACAAAGGGGCTCTGGTTGTGTTGAAATGCCCAGTGGTGTATATGTGCATTTATATATACTCACTTAAAAGCACAGCTTGGAAGCTTACATTTAAACGAAGATTTTAAAAGGAGTTGTTATTTTTTTTAACTGTTCATTTGAAAACTTTTATGCTACTGCATTTTTCAAATTTTTTAAAAACAGAGGCAGAACATACACACCAGAAAGGCCATATCACAGCTGTTCAGCTGTCAGAGGCCTGACCTCCCCCGGACACCCCCACCCTCAGACACCCCCATACCCACCCCCAGAGACCCCCACACCTCTGCAGACACCCCATACCACCCCCAGACGGCCCTACACCACCCCGCAGACACCCCCTACAGCCCTAGACACACCCACACCCAGCCCGCAGACACCTCCACACTTACATCCAGACACTTCCACACCCCCTTAGACATCCTTACACCATCCCCCAGACATCCCCCACAGTCCTAGACATCCCCACACCCAGGCCCCAAGACACCCCTACACTCACACCCAGATACCCCCACACCCCCTTAGACACCCCTACACCACCCCCTATACACCCCCCACAGCCTCAGGCATCCCCATACCCACCCCCAGACACCCCCATGCCCACCCCCACACCTGTCCTGGGGACCCCTCCCCGGACGGTGCGTCCTGACTCAGCCTCCGGGTGCTGGTTTCTCCCGATCAGCCTGCTGTTGGTGGAGCCCGTGGGGGGCCCCTTCCTGAGCCGTGGGCCCTGTCCTGACCAGGGGGACGTGAGGGACCCTCTGCTGCCACCCTCGGTGCTGGTACCTGTGTGTTTGAAGCCGACCTCGAGGTGTTTCTGGGGGCTGCTCCCTGCTGCTGCTGTGACAGCTGACCACGGACTTAGTGGTGGAGGCAGCCCTGCCATAGCCTCTCTCGCCCTCAGACGACAACCGTGGGTCCCCAGGGCTGGACCTTCTGGGCTCAGGGGAGAATCCCAGCCTTTTCTAGCTTCCAAAGGTTCCTCGACCCCTGGCTGGGGGCCCTACATCCCTCAGATCTCAGCTCTGGTGCCGTGT